TGGTCATCACTGCCGAGGCCCGCCACGCTATGGTGTGTTGCCTCACAACACACTCGCCTCTCTTCCTGTGTCACCATACCCGTCACTATCACCACCATCAACACATTCGCTTCGTCCCTAAACACAAATGGTTCATGTTGGTTCATTTGCAACACCCTAACCAGGTCCCTAAACACAAATGGACTATTCTGGTGCATTTGCAACTTGGCCCCTAAGTTCTGAACCCTAAGCTGGACTCCCGTCAACTCTCCACCCTGATCCAATATTCTCTCACCTTGATACGTCTTACTAACTTATATCTTCCCAGTAATTAAACTCTTCAACTAAACTTTATCCCATTTAACATTCACACAAACGAGTCTCTTCATATATGTATATATATTTATAGAGTTTAGTCGTAAAATTAGTGTGTTATCTTCCCATAGTTCTGATTTTATATATTTTGTCAATATAAGTCTCATTGCTCTATGTTGGCCAGACCACACACTAGAAAGTGAAGGGACGACGTTTCGGTCCGTCCTGGACCATTTACACAATCGACTTGGTCCAGGAAGGACCGAAACGTCGTGAGACGTTTTACACACCTCCAGACTCGCCATATCTGTGTTACACACCTGCAGACTCAGCATATCTGTGTTACACACCTGCAGACTCAGCATATCTGTGTTACACACCTGTAGACTCAGCATATCTGTGTTACACACCTGCAGACTCACCATATCTGTGTTACACACCTGCAGACTCAGCATATCTGTGTTACACACCTGCAGACTCACCATATCTGTGTTACACACCTGCAGACTCACCATATCTGTGTTACACACCTGCAGACTCAGCATATCTGTGTTACACACCTGCAGACTCACCATATCTGTGTTACACACCTGCAGACTCACCATATCTGTGTTACACACCTACAGACTCACCATATCTGTGTTACACACCTGCAGACTCACCATATCTGTGCTCCACACCTACAGACTCACCATATCTGTGTTACACACCTGCAGACTCAGCATATCTGTGTTACATACCTGCAGACTCACCATATCTGTGCTCCACACCTCCGGCTCAAGGTCTTCCACGGCAGATAACACACAAAAGGAAAAAGGATTTATCCAATAAAATCGTTGTTGAGATGTTTACAAGGACGGGCAAGTATGTATGTATGTATGTATGTATGTATGTATGTATGTATGTATGTATGTATGTATGTATGTGGGAGCATGATATAGCCTTGTTGTGTTTCCGAGGGTTGAGCCTCAGCTCGTGGTCTCTATAATCTCAGTTTCCAGTATTCACCTGTGTTCTTTCATGCTGTGAGACACACACACACACACACACACACACACACACACACACACACACACACACACACACACACACACACGCACGCGCGTGTAGAGCTGTATTTTAATAAAGGCTTGTTGAAGCAGGCGGGGAATCTCACGTCTGTGCACGCTCCAATGCCTCTCTCTGGGAGAGAAGTGAGAGAACGACCTAATATTGGAGATAGTGTGGGTGGCACTCCTCGGCACTCCAGCCTGGCGTCCCCCTCACTCCGTCATGTGACGTCTGGCACTGACTCTTATTATGACTTTGGTTCTACCCACCAAACACACACCGAAACTACGACGTTGGCACAACGTTCGAACAAGTTTTAACACCTCCTAACCAGTTATAACAACCAATATAGCAAGTTGTAACAACGTTCTAATACGTCATAAACACGTTAAGCCAAGATGTAACAACTTTATTTCAAGTTGTAACAAGCGGAAAATAGAGACAGTTTCGGTTTGTGTTTCCAGGGTATTTGGCACTGTCTGGCACTATGGGGGTTGGTTGCTGTTGGGGCTAAGTCCATCACCTCTCCCTCACAAGTCCTGGCTGGCCCCTCCATCATTCCTCTCCCTCACCACTGCTCCTCCACCATCTCTCCATCAACACACTTGAAACTCTCCTGCTTCCCATTTTCTATTTCAGATCTTTCCAGTACCAATCTAATTCTTAGATTTGAGTGGTTCCTGGACGCCATTTAGAGCCTGTCGTACCTGGAACTACATTAACTAAAACGTTTTACAACGTTTTAGAACGTTTCAGAACACGACATTAGTTGTTGAGCGCAAAATTTTTTGACCATACTAATCAGTCAAATGGATTAATCCTCTGTAGATTATGCCTTTATCGAGGAAGTTTCTCTTAACACGACTTTTTCCTGTATTCATATAAGCGGAGTTTGGTAGTTTGGGAGGAAGTGAGTGGTTGAGAGGCGAGGTCCGGTTGTTAGGTGTTGCTCGGGGGAACTACAGCGGGTGCCACGTACACGTCAGGCTTGGAGGGAGTGATTGGTAATTGTCAAGTTATGAATTCCTGATTTGATGTGTGTGTGTTGGGGGGAGGAGGGGGGTGCTGGAGCTGTCGCCCTGAGCTGCTCGTGACCTAATTACCTTCACCTGTCAACCAGGAATATTGATTAGGAAGTAGAAGTAGAGATTAGGAAGTAGAAGTAGAGATTAGGAAGTAGAAGTAGAGATTAGGAAGTAGAGACCCGGCTGGGCCCGGGTCTCTCCTCTTCCCTCAGTTCCCCTCTCTTCTTTCCTACCATCTCTCCTCCTCCCTCCCCCAGATATGTTATCAACAAAGCTATACTGATCGTGATGCAGGTAATGTGTGAAGGGTTACATAGTGTCAAGAGCTAGATAAAAGGCTCAATAAATCTATGGAAAACAAATCACTGATTTCAGACGTCATGAAAAATTAAAAGGGTCGTCATAAAGGCCGAAATTTCTTAATGTGGTACTGGGGCCGACACCGACTGCCCTATGACACTCCCACACCCCTAGCGTGTCATCGTGAACAGTTAGGTGAGACTAGCCACACGCGAGGACTTCCGGCCTTGGACAGAGAAACATATATTTTATTTTATAGAATATATTATATAATTACTATATAATTCTTTATGTAAAAAAGTTATATTACTTGAAAAATGTAAAATATATCACAATTTTCGTGAATTTTTTGGCATTTAATTTTTTTTAATATCGTTCGAGTTAAAAGTGTCCTGGACCTGATTTGACATCTCTTGACCTCTCTTGAACTCTTGACAGCTCTTGACCTCTCTTGATCTCTCTTGATCTCTCTTGACCTGTCTTGACCGCTCTTGACCTCTCTTGATCTCTCTTGGCCTCTCTTGATCTGTCTTGACCGCTCTTGACATCTCATGACCTCTAAGAGTGGCAGGATATGACCTTCGCTGTCACTGCCGCAGATGGCGACTGTCATTTGTCAAGCGAGTGCTGACGCGGCTGCCAGGGAGGAAATGGTCCGAGGTATTGTGGTGTCTGGGGGCGGCTAGAGTACTGCTTGTGATACAGTGACACAGTATCACTGTGTACTGTATCACTAGGACCACTCCTGTATCACCAGAACTACTCCTGTATCACTAGGACTACTGTGTATCCCCAGGATTACTCCTGTATCCATAGGACCACTACTGTACGCTATGGACTATCTCTTGTACCGTAAGGAACTCTCCTGTACCCAGGACCACCGCTGTACCGCAAGGACCGCTCCTGTACCCACAAGACCACTCCTGTAACCCCCTGGTGTAAGCAGTAGGGGTTTGTTCTGACTGCAATTAACCCCCTCGTTGCACGAGGCCATTTGCAATCTCTTTAGCTTTAAATGAGTCTTTGTTGACGATAGGATTACGAGGGGATTTTTTTGGGCGTAATCCCCGGAGAGGCAGTTAGGTAATCTGATGATTTAGGCAATTTTGGGCAGGATTTTCACCGTGGGTTAGATATGAACACGGGGGATTACTTTGGGCTGGTTGGGGTAATTCTTTATTGCAGAGAGCAAGCCAGTGTACCATGCATTACGCTACTGGTACGGCGTGATGGGTGGTTTGTGGGCGTGCGGGCGTGCCTAGGAGTGCCGTGCTTGCTGCGGCACGCAATGGTAATTACAGGTGGCACTTGGCTCACCTGAGGCTGTGGCCCTGCAACCTTGAGTGCCACTATGGAGGCACTTGTGAGGGAGTGGGTATTGGCACGGTGGTGGGGGAGGTAGGAACAGGTTGGGCACGTGGGTATATTGTACCTCAATTGTCACACAGGTGTCAACAGCTGTCTGTCACTGAGGCACTCAGCCAAGGGGGAGAAAACTTAGGGTTTTGTTTAGACTTTTGCAAAAGATGAATACATTGAAAACAATTTATGCGGGTTCGTCTCACTGGAATTTAATTTGTGTTCTGTGCTGAGCGCCTTGTGTTGTTGGCACCTCGGGAAGGACACACTAGTGCCGTAATTCTTAGCAGCGTCTAACGTTATTCTTCAGCTTGATCTCACGCTCGTGAGCCTGCATTAAAATTATGCAGCTAAGCTTTAGTGTCATATTATAGAATGAACTTAGTCGATGTATATAAACCCGAGCTGTTGTTGTTATAGATTCAGCTACTCGGAACAAGTTCCAAGTAGCACGGGCTATGGTGAGCCCGTAACTTACCTGGCACAGGAGCGGGGCAAGTAGCACGGGCTATGGTGAGCCCGTAACTTACCTGGCACAGGAGCGGGGCAAGAAGCACGGGCTATGGTGAGCCCGTAACTTACCTGGCACAGGAGCGGGGCAAGTAGCACGGGCTATGGCGAGCCCGTAACTTACCTGGCACAGGAGCGGGGCAAGTAGCACGGGCTATGGTGAGCCCGTAACTTACCTGGCACAGGAGCGGGGCAAGTAGCACGGGCTATGGCGAGCCCGTAACTTACCTGGCACAGGAGCGGGGCAAGTAGCACGGGCTATGGCGAGCCCGTAACTTACCTGGCACAGGAGCGGGGCAAGTAGCACGGGCTATGGTGAGCCCGTAACTTACCTGGCACAGGAGCGGGGCAAGTAGCACGGGCTATGGCGAGCCCCGTATGAACCCGAGCTGCCTCCTTTGGGTCAATATAGGCCTTCTGCAGCTTCCTGTAGTATGTTGTGATGACCACCTCGCCCACAGCATGCCCACCTCGCCCACAGCATGCCCACCTCGCCCACAGCATGCCCACCTCGCCCACAGCATGCCCACCTCGCCCACAGCATGCCCACCTCGCCCACAGCATGCCCACCTCGCCCACAGCATGCCCACCTCGCCCACAGCATGCCCACCTCGCCCACAGCATGCCCACCTCGCCCACAGCATGACCACCTCGCCCACAGCATGTCCACCTCGCCCACAGCATGCCCACCTCGCCCACAGCATGACCACCTCGCCCACAGCATGCCCACCTCGCCCACAGCATGCCCACCTCGCCCACAGCATGTCCACCTCGCCCACAGCATGTCCACCTCGCCCACAGCATGCTCACCTCGTCCACAGCATGTCCGCCTCGCCCACAGCATGCTCACCTCGCCCACAGCATGCCCACCTCGCCCACAGCATGACCACCTCGCCCACAGCATGCCCACCTCGCCCACAGCATGTCCACCTCGCCCACAGCATGTCCACCTCGCCCACAGCAGTGTCCTCGCAGCGCCCTCGCTGGCTCCTTCAAGCAACTGACTCTTCGATTTTAAATTTCCCGGGCGAGGAAAATGACTTGCTGGCAGTATTGGCAATTTGCGCGGGTAATTTAGATTTTTATGGCAGGTAACGGAAATTTTGGCGCGCTTATGACCCTATTGTGATGTTTGTGTGATGTTCAGGTGAATGTTGAGATGTTCTAGGCCACCAGGGAAGTGGCCCAGTGGCCACCAGGGAAGTGGCCCAGTGGCCACCAGGGAAGTGGCCCAGTGGCCACCAGGGAAGTGGCCCAGTGGCCACCTAGCACCGGGCCACTTCCCCCCCCCCTTTCCTCCTCCCCCTAATATAAACAGCGAGGCAGTTTACACCCTCTAGGTGTAAACTGCCCCAAGTGAGTACACAACCTGATGCTCACTTCGATGTGTAGCGCCCAGGTGTTGGCTAGGCCGTGCGCTGACTCCTGGGCCCCGCCTGCTGCACGTGTGCGTGCTGTACACTCCAGAGAGAGAGAGAGAGAGAGAGAGAGAGAGAGAGAGAGAGAGAGAGAGAGAGAGGGGAGAGAGAGAGAGAGAGAGAGGGGAGAGAGAGAGAGAGGAGAGAGAGAGGTGTGTAATGAAGAGATTGTGTGTGGAGGTGAGGCAGAGAAGCCGAGCCTTGAGGTCTGCATAAACAGGAATATTACCATAATAGTGTGTGTGTGTGTGTCAGTGTGGGAGGAGCCTGGGAGATGACCTGGGAGGCTGGCAGGTGTTGATGACTAAGGTACCACCACTACTGGCAGGTGTTGATGACTGAGGTACCACCACTACTGGCAGGTGTTGATGACCAAGGTACCACCACTACTGGCAGGTGTTGATGACTGTGTACCACCACAACTGGCAGGTGTTGATGACTGTGTACCACCACTACTGGCAGGTGTTGATGACCAAGGTACCACCACTACTGGCAGGTGTTGATGACTGTGTACCACCACAACTGGCAGGTGTTGATGACTGTGTACCACCACAACTGGCAGGTGTTGATGACTGTGTACCACCACAACTGGCAGGTGTTGATGACTAAGGTACCACCACTACTGGCAGGTGTTGATGACTGTGTACCACCACAACTGGCAGGTGTTGATGACTGTGTACCACCACAACTGGCAGGTGTTGATGACTAAGGTACCACCACTACTGGCAGGTGTTGATGACTGTGGTACCACCACTACTGGCAGGTGTTGATGACTGTGTACCACCACAACTGGCAGGTGTTGATGACTAAGGTACCACCACTACTGGCAGGTGTTGATGACTGTGGTACCACCACTACTGGCAGGTGTTGATGACTGTGGTACCACCACTACTGGCAGGTGTTGATGACTGTGTACCACCACTACTGGCAGGTGTTGATGACCAAGGTACCACCACTACTGGCAGGTGTTGATGACCAAGGTACCACCACTACTGGCAGGTGTTGATGACTGAGGTACCACCACTACTGGCAGGTGTTGATGACTGAGGTACCACCACAACTGGCAGGTGTTGATGACTGTGGTACCACCACTACTGGCAGGTGTTGATGACTGTGGTACCACCACTACTGGCAGGTGTTGATGACCAAGGTACCACCACAACTGGCAGGTGTTGATGACCAAGGTACCACCACTACTGGCAGGTGTTGATGACTGAGGTACCACCACTACTGGCAGGTGTTGATGACTGAGGTACCACCACAACTGGCAGGTGTTGATGACTGTGGTACCACCACTACTGGCAGGTGTTGATGACCAAGGTACCACCACTACTGGCAGGTGTTGATGACTGAGGTACCACCACTACTGGCAGGTGTTGATGACTGTGTACCACCACTACTGGCAGGTGTTGATGACCAAGGTACCACCACTACTGGCAGGTGTTGATGACTGAGGTACCACCACTACTGGCAGGTGTTGATGACTAAGGTACCACCACTACTGGCAGGTGTTGATGACTAAGGTACCACCACTACTGGCAGGTGTTGATGACTGTGTACCACCACTACTGGCAGGTGTTGAATATGTTACCACCACTACTACCAGCCTTAGTGACGTGGTACTAAGCCTCACAGAAGCACATATTAACATCACATCATGGCAATAGTTGTAGGTTGTTAACTGACCTCTCCAATCACCGGTAAGACAACAGCCGGGAACAAGGTGGTTCAACTGAGGGTTTGAACAAGGCGTCTGCCTCGTGGGGATCAATAGACCTGCAATGTACTCAATCTTGAGGTTATCTTGAGATGATTTCGGGGCTTTAGTGTCCCCGCGGCCCGGTCCTCGACCAGGCCTCCACCCCCAGGAAGCAGCCCGTGACAGCTGACTAACACCCAAGTACCTATTTTACTGCTAGGTAACAGGGGCATATTGTGAAAAACTATGCCCATTGTTTCTCGCCGGCGCCCGGGATCGAACCCGGGACCACAGGATCACAAGTCCAGTGTGCTGTCCGCTCGGCCGACCGGCTGCCTTATATTAATGCGTCAGTGAGTCCTCAGACGAGCTCTCCTAATGGTGGGTGTGGTAAATCTGGTCCTAGCTCTCAACAACTGAACCGGGCGTCAGGCTAGGCTCGTTCAAGCGGCGGCTGACCCTAAACGCGCATTAATTCATAAATTATTATTAAGTACGTATATTTAATTACACGTATATATATATATATAATTTATTTATACGTATTTTATTTATAAAATAATTGTTATTAACACATTGCGTATTAAAAATAGTTTATACATTAATTAGTATTAAGATTTATTAATGTTGTATGAAGAGTTAAGTGTATGTTAAGTTGTGTTTGAAGTTGTTGGGTTGCCAGAGTGTGAGGGGGGGGGGGAGTGATGCTTCGGGGGGGGGGGGGCGTTTAAAGAAGTGCTGCTCAAGCAGAGACCTTGAGCGGACACTGTGGGGAAAGTGGAACACTCACTACCTTAAAATTACTTTGTGTTCGGCCGCGTCTTGGAGGCTGACAGACCCAACCTGTCCTCATCACAGCCTAGCGCCGCCACGCGAGGGTCGTTAACGCGGCGGCCGACCCCGCCAAACGCATTCACCCATTTAATTCTTTGCGTGTTAAAAATGAGGACGGTGTATGTTGATGAGGACGGGCCGGGGTTGATGAGGACGGTCTATGTTGATGAGGACGGTCTATGTTGATGAGGACGGTCTATGTTGATGAGGACGGTCTATGTTGATGAGGACGGTCTATGTTGATGAGGACGGTCTATGTTGATGAGGACGGTCTATGTTGATGAGGACGGGCTGTGTTGATGAGGACGGGCTGTGTTGATGAGGACGGTCTATGTTGATGAGGACGGTCTATGTTGATGAGGACGGGCTGTGTTGATGAGGACGGGCTGTGTTGATGAGGACGGTCTATGTTGATGAGGACGGTCTATGTTGATGAGGACGGTCTATGTTGATGAGGACGGGCTATGTTGATGAGGACGGTCTATGTTGATGAGGACGGGCTATGTTGATGAGGACGGTCTATGTTGATGAGGACGGTCTATGTTGATGAGGACGGGCTATGTTGATGAGGACGGTCTATGTTGATGAGGACGGGCTATGTTGATGAGGACGGTCTATGTTGATGAGGACGGTCTATGTTGATGAGGACGGTCTATGTTGATGAGGACGGGCTATGTTGATGAGGACGGTCTATGTTGATGAGGACGGTCTATGTTGATGAGGACGGTCTATGTTGATGAGGACGGTCTATGTTGATGAGGACGGTCTATGTTGATGAGGACGGTCTATGTTGATGAGGACGGTCTATGTTGATGAGGACGGTCTATGTTGATGAGGACGGGCTTGATATAGACGATAGGGAATATTGTATGACTCATACGCTATAAACAGAACTATAATATATGGGAAAGGCTGTTCATCTCATCACATTCATCACTCCTCTTCCTTTCATCACCTCCCTCCCCCATCCCCCGTCCCCTCACCGTCCCCTCATCACGTGGTGTTGAGCAGTGAGTCACTGAGGGGAACTGTAATTGAATCCCCTTCTTTATTATATACGCTAATATATTGTTTTAGTGACCCCTTTGTTGACTGGGGCGCTTGGGGGAGGGAGGGGGATGAGTATAGGGTGAGGCGGGTGCCTGCTGCTTATAGTGGGGATGAGTGATGGCTGAGTATGGGGGGGTATGAACCTGCAGGATGGGTGAAGGGCGTGCAGGTTGAGTCTGTAGGTGTGTGCAGGCTGGCCAGGGTAGGGCGCCTTAGACTAATTGGCAGACCAATCCTCGCAATTGTGGGATGTGTCTCATTGCAATTTTTTGAACATTTTCGAGTTTCCTTATGTTCGGTTTTTTTAAGATAGGGGGTTCCATGATGGGGCTCTATGATGGGGCTCTATGATGGGGCTCTATGATGGGGGGGGGGTCCCATGATGGGACGACATTCTCTAAAACAGGTCTCACGTAGATGTTTTCAGCGACCTGGATCACTTGGACGGTCGGGGATTGAACGCCGACCTGCATGAAGCGAGACCGTCGCTCTACCGTCCAGCCCAAACTACCCAATACGTTTATCACCCCCGTATGATGGCAGTTACCAGCTGGCACCGTCGGCACTGTCCTCTGGCACTTGCCCTGCAGTGCCCGGGTGTATATATGTACAGGTTGTATATAACAGTGCCAGATTTTGAGGGCCACCGCCGGGCCGTGATTCACCTGCACTACCTGTATTGATCACAGGCCGGCCAGGTGAGTCACTGGCACCTACGGGGAGGAGGGGTGCCGGAGTACTCAGGTGAGTCACTGGCACCTACGGGGGGGTGCCGGAGTACTCAGGTGAGTCACTGGCACCTACAGGGGGGGAAGAGGGGGGTGCCGGAGTACTCAGGTGAGTCACTGGCACCTACAGGGGGGGAAGAGGGGGGTGCCGGAGTACTCAGGTGAGTCACTGGCACCTACAGGGGGGGAAGAGGGGGGGTGCCTGAGTACTCAGGTGAGTCGGTGGCACCTACCAGGGGGGGGAGGGGGGTGCCTAAGTATTCAGGTGAGTCACTGGCTTCTTCTTATCTTGAGGTTATCTTGAGATAACATCAAGATAAGTGAGAGGAGAGGATCACCAGTTAGTGAAGCATAGGTTATCTTGAGATGATTTCGGGGCTTTATTGTCCCCGCGGCCCGGTCCTCGACCAGGCCTCCACCCCTAGGAAGCAGCCCGTGACAGCTGACTAACACCCAGGTACCTATTTTTACTGCTAGGTAACAGGGGCATAGGGTGAATGAAACTCTGCCCATTGTTTCTCGCCGGCGCCTGGGATCGAACCCGGGACCACAGGATCACAAGTCCAGCGTGCTGTCCGCTCGGCCGACCGGCTCCCTACAAGCACCTACAAGCCGTCAATAGGAGAGACTGATTATACTGTACCTGTACCCATGATACACTGTACCCCACAGAATACTGTACCTGTACCCATGATACACTGTACCCCACAGTATACTGTACCTGTACCCATGATACACTGTACCCCACAGTATACTGTACCTGTACCCATGATACACTGTACCCCACAGTATACTGTACCTGTACCCATGATACACTGTACCCCACAGTATACTGTACCTGTACCCATGATACACTGTACCCCACAGTATACTGTACCTGTACCCATGATACACTGTACCCCACAGTATACTGTACCTGTACCCATGATACACTGTACCCCACAGTATACTGTACCTGTACCCATGATACACTGTACCCCACAGTATACTGTACCTGTACCCATGATACACTGTACCCCACAGTATACTGTACCTGTACCCATGATACACTGTACCCCACGGTATACTGTACCTGTACCCATGATACACTGTACCCCACAGTATACTGTACCTGTACCCATGATACACTGTACCCCACGGTATACTGTACCTGTACCCATGATACACTGTACCCCACAGTATACTGTACCTGTACCCCACAGTATACTGTACCTGTACCCATGATACACTGTACCCCACAGTATACTGTACCTGTACCCATGATACACTGTACCCCACAGTATACTGTACCTGTACCCATGATACACTGTACCCCACAGTATACTGTACCTGTACCCATGATACACTGTACCCCACAGTATACTGTACCTGTACCCATGATACACTGTACCCCACAGTATACTGTACCTGTACCCATGATACACTGTACCCCACGGTATACTGTACCTGTACCCATGATACACTGTACCCCACAGTATACTGTACCTGTACCCATGATACACTGTACCCCACGGTATACTGTACCTGTACCCATGATACACTGTACCCCACAGTATACTGTACCTGTACCCCACAGTATACTGTACCTGTACCCATGATACACTGTACCCCACAGTATACTGTACCTGTACCCATGATACACTGTACCCCACAGTATACTGTACCTGTATGATTTCATCCCCAATGTTAATAAGTTTCCAGTCCCTGTTTGCTCTCGCTGGGAGCACTGTAATTCTAACACTGTCGACCACAGCGTCAAAATTACGACGCCTTAGTGACAACAGAAGCTCCGTAACTTTGACGGTTCTGGGCCTCGCCCCACACTTGGATCATCGGGAATCGAGCTCCGACTCTGTAGGAAATGACGCTGTTTTTCACTAAGATTAATTGGTTTTGTCTCGTGGCACAGAATATTAGGGGGGAGGTGGGGATGTGGAAGTGGAGGGCAGGTGTGTGGGGGGCAGGTGTGGGGGCAGGTGTGGTGGGAGACAGGTGTATGTAAGCGTGACACGTGAAGGGGGGGTGGGGGGGGGGAGTGGGGGTCGCAGATCGATACTTTATGATAGGACAGGTGACGAACCTCACCTGAGGTCACTCGATGTCTGGGCGGGAGAGAAATGGTTGAGCACGTTTCATTTCACCTAATGCCGCTGTTCACCTAGTAAACAGGATGCCCGGAGTCACACAACTGTTGTGGGGGTTACATTTTGGGGGAAGATCAGTCACTTTATGGCAGGAACAGGGGGAGGGGGGGGGTGGAGAGAATGCTTTGATACATACCTAGAGTATACATATACACAGGCTTCCTGTCCCACCGAAAGAGAGAGAGAGAGAGAGAGAAGAAGAGCGGTCAACCTCACCACTTAACATGCGGTCATTACACAATGGTAATTACTTCATGTGGTCTCCAGCTTGTTAACCCGTCCACTGCGCAATGCAGTTTTTTGCCTCTTGTGTGTGTACTCGTGTCCGGCTTCCCTGGAAACACAAACCGAAACTGTCTCTATTTTCAGTTTGTTACAACTTGTAATAAAGTTGTTACATCTTGGCTTAACGTGTTTATGACGTATTAGAACGTTGTTACAACTTGCTATATTGGTTGTTATAACTGGTTAGGAGGTGTTAAAACTTGTTCGAACGTTGTACCAACGTCGTAGTTTCGGTGTGTGTTTGGTGGGTTCCCGCCTCCTCCACCCCCGCCCTCAGACCTTGTCCTCCACGCTGCTGTGTATTCAAAATAGATATTTCGAATATGTGGCCGGGCAGACAATAACAGTATTAACGGTAGTGGCCACAACGGTAGTGGCCACAACGGTGGTGGCCACAACGGTAGTGGCCACAACGGTAGTGGCCACAACGGTAGTGGCCACAACGGTAGTGGCCACAACGGTAGTGGCCACAACGGTGGTGGCCACAACGGTAGTGGCCACAACGGTAGTGGCCACAACGGTAGTGGCCACAACGGTAGTGGCCACAACGGTAGTGGCCACAACGGTAGTGGCCACAACGGTGGTGGCCACAACGGTGGTGGCCACAACGGTGGTGGCCACAACGGTGGTGGCCACAACGGTAGTGGCCACAATAACGGTTACAAAGCGAACTGTGTAAATTTAATCTTGTTTAAAAAAATCATTATTCCCGAACGCATAGAGACAAAAATATTGGCCTGTTGTATTTCATCGTTGTATAAATACATCATACAGCTAAATGTATTATATCAATCAAAAGTCAATTTTAAATACAGGTTTTGTTGTCACCTCTGACTCAAGGTCGATTATATTTTAATTAAATTGAGATTAATTCTACCTGATAGGTGGTGATTGTTATTGATGGTGGTGATTGTTGTTGATGGTGGTGATTGTTGTTGATGGTTGGTGGTGATTGTTGTTGATGGTGGTGATTGTTATTGATGGTCAGTGGTGATTGTTATTGATGGTGGTGATTGTTGTTGATGGTGGTGATTGTTGTTGATGGTGGTGATTGTTGTTGATGGTTGGTGGTGATTGTTGTTGATGGTGGTGATTGTTATTGATGGTCAGTGGTGATTGTTATTGATGGTGGTGATTGTTGTTGATGGTGGTGATTGTTGTTGATGGTGGTGATTGTTGTTGATGGTGGTGATTGTTGTTGATGGTGGTGATTGTTATTGATGGTTGGTGGTGATTGTTGTTGATGGTGGTGATTGTTGTTGATGGTGGTGATTGTTATTGATGGTCAGTGGTGATTGTTATTGATGGTTGGTAGTGATTGTTATTGATGGTGGTGATTGTTGTTGATGGTGGGTGGTGATTGTTTTTGATGGTTAGTGGTGATTGTTGTTGTTGGTTGGTGGTGATTGTTATTGATGGTAGTGATTGTTGTTGCTGGTTGGTGGTGATTGTTGGTGGTGATTGTTATTGATGGTGGTGATTGTTGTTGATGGTGGTGATTGTTATTGATGGTTGGTGGTGATTGTTGTTGATGGTGGTGATTGTTGTTGATGGTGGTGATTGTTATTGATGGTCAGTGGTGATTGTTATTGATGGTTGGTAGTGATTGTTATTGATGGTGGTGATTGTTGTTGATGGTGGGTGGTGATTGTTTTTGATGGTTAGTGGTGATTGTTGTTGTTGGTTGGTGGTGATTGTTATTGATGGTAGTGATTGTTGTTGCTGGTTGGTGGTGATTGTTATTGATGGTGGTGATTGTTGGTGGTGATTGTTATTGATGGTGGTGATTGTTGTTGATGGTGGTGATTGTTGTTGTTGGTTGGTGGTGATTGTTGTTGCTGGTTGGTGGTGATTGTTGTTGCTGGTTGGTGGTGATTGTTATTGATGGAGGTGATTGTTGTTGCTGGTTGGTGGTGATTGTTGCTGCTGGTTGGTGGTGATTGTTATTGATGGAGGTGATTGTTGTCGCTGGTTGGTGGTGATTGTTGCTGCTGGTTGGTGGTGATTGTTATTGATGGAGGTGATTGTTGTTGCTGGTTGGTGGTGATTGTTGCTGCTGGTTGGTGGTGATTGTTATTGATGGAGGTGATTGTTGTTGATGGTTGGTGGTGATTGTTGCTGCTGGTTGGTGGTGATTGTTATTGATGGTGGTGATTGTTGTTGATGGTGGTGATTGTTGTTGCTGGTTGGTGGTGATTGTTGCTGCTGGTTGGTGGTGATTGTTGCTGCTGGTTGGTGGTGATTGTTGCTGCTGGTTGGTGGTGATTGTTATTGATGGTAGTGATTGTTGTTGCTGGTTGGTGG